AAAGAGAAAGAGAGGGAGAGAGAGCACTCTGTTTCTGCTTCAGATTTCAGATATGACTTATCTGCTTGATGTATTAGACTGGTGATAAACAAATGTATGAGGAAGCACAAGCGATGTCTCAGTAGGGTTGGACCAAAAAATGGGCCATTTCTTCAGGGCCCTCCACGTGACAGCAGAACCTGCTTGATTTAATGACCCGAGGTGCCAAGACGAAATTTAATCTCCGTTAGAGCCCCCGATGAAGGTTCTACCTCCGGCCGATTCTCAGGATGACTAATTGACTGAGTGATGGGCCAGCCGACTGTCTGTCGAGCGAGGTGACTGGCTGGTGGTATAAGAATACAACTATGACTAAATTTAACCTGCACTGGGAGGAAGCGCCTGTGTGACAGTCGGCCGTGCGCCAGGGCTCGCACCGGGTCACTTTATCTGCCTGTCTGTGTGTATGTATTAGTGTGGGAGTGTGAGTGTGTGTGTGAATGCGTACATGTCAGCCTGACTGGATCCTCTTACACACAGGCACTCAGGGTCAGTCCCCGGTGGCACCAGCAGGCATGCCACTGACCACTGACACACACAGAGACACATACATCAATGAGAGCTTGATGCAAAGTGACGTCAATAAGTCACGTCTCCTTTTTAGAACAAATATGTCCAAATAACAAACCTATCAAGTGTAGACTCTCTGGGCAGGGTCCTAACCCTGTTTGATTACTTTAAAACATGGAAGATCAGAATTTAAATTTCAACGTTTGGCCAGTTCTAGACAATGTAGGGTTCTCGCACATTTGGGCTTTTTATATATCTTTTTTGTCAATGAAAATAAAGTTAAACCTCATCTAAATTTGTCCAACTATTGTTCCTGTACCAGGACCAAACTACAGTCACTGCAGCACCAGCATGGAAAAAGTGAAAACACACTTTGTCCCACAGCCCAGACCTCTGACACAAACCCAGAGTTCTTTCATTTAATTTAAATAAACACCCTTTCAGACTCCTACGGCGTTACTAAACGAACACGTGGCATCACGGGTCACCCTCAGTTTCTCTACCAAGCTCCACTGCACGCCGCAGATACACGAGCGACGGTCCGGTTTTCCTCTTAACCCTGACCCCAGCTCTGATTCCCTAATCTCTTTCTTGGTATCCCTCCTCATTTCCTATTCCCTGAGCTGAACACCCACACCCCAGCTTTAACTGAGATCAGCACCCCTACACCCAGCGCCAGGCCTCCAGCCATCCAGCCTCCTCTCCTCTTCACCACACTATGCTCTGTTCCAGGCTGATGACGTGAGCCAGCAAGAGGAGCTTTGGAGCTGGTAGCCTGGCAGGCAGCCTAGTTTGCATTTGCGCTTGTCGCTGTCGCAGCTCACTTAACTCTTTCCAGCCTGGATGCTTCCTGGTTTCTAAGATGTAGCCAAAGGATGTTTGGGCATTATTATTTCATCTGGTTAGAAAACACAGCAGTATCATTTACCATACTTTATAAATCTCTAAATTAAATACATGTCTATGAAAAGCCAATGCTACAAATCATTTATTTTCCAAAAGTCAACAAGTACAAAATGATTCCACTGAGCTGCAAAAGATTATTCTTACAACTGACTGACTTTACATCTTTGCTGCCTTCCTCCCCTTAAAGCCGCCCTTCTCCCTCTTCCTTCTTCCTTTCTGAAAATATGTCTGGAGGAGAACATAAAAAAGCCAGAGTGAGTGAATTAGAAGGTCAGCAGCAGGCCTCTGCGAGAGCCATGTTTCTTTTGTCAGGAGGAAAGGCGGCAGGCTGTGAGGAAAGGGACGAAGAGGGAGTGAGGGAGGGTGGGTGAAAGGAGGAGGACTGGTGCAACCCATTTTTACCCCCTTCCCTCTCCTTGCCAAAGACATCATAAGTGCAGAGAGCTACAGCCATCCTGCTCCGGCCTTTCTACATTTATTGCTTTTACAGAGGGTGCCCATTCACTGGAGCGCTAGCCGCCACTGCCATGTCATCTGAGGCAGGAAGGAAAACAGCACAGGAGGAGGAGGAGGAGGAGGAGGAAGGGACAGCGTGCATGCCTTAGAGAGGGAGTCAAGAAGTGAGGGAGGGAGGACGGGGTGCCTGTTAAGAGATCTTGGGTTTCACAGTTTCAACTTGGTCTAAAATGTGTCTTTGCTTAATGCACACAGGGAGGACTTTAGTGTCCGTCTGGGGGTCTGGAGGAGAAGGAGGAAGAGGAGGAGGAGAGAGGTTGAATTCAGCTCCTCTGTTCTCTAAAGCACTACTCCAATCTCCTGGTCCATCTAAGAACACACACACACACACACACGCAGGCAGGCAGGCAGGCAGACTAACCCCTCCACCACCACCCCACCCCCCACAACCAAACAAAGGAGGGGGAGAAATGGGCAGCGAACACCAACTGACATAAAACAGGCTTTAAAGGCCCAGTAATGAGAACCATCTGAGGCAAAGGAAAATAGAGAACAGCACACAGCAGAGGAGAGCAAAACTCCTTCTTTCATGGACACCATCTTACTCTGTAGCCTATGGCCATAGAGCTGGGTGAGGAGGAGGAGGAAGAGGAGGAGGAGATTAAATGACTAAAGCTAAGGAAGCCTGAAACATGTCCTGCATGGCAGATGGAAGTGAAAAAAAAAAACCCACATCCACACTGGAGCTGGAGGAGAAGAGACTAAATACCTACAAGGTCCTTCCCTGTGAGCAAAAACACACCCAAATAAACACTCGTGTGTCTGCTCACTACACACAATACTGCACGCACACAGCGCTCTTCTCCAAACAAACGGAGTGTGTTTGCCTTCCATTACAACACAACACGGAAAGTGATGAGAGGGAACAGGAGAGGAAGAGGAGAGAAGAGGAGCGTTGTTCGAAAAGCCAGGAGGGAGGAATTTATGTGGATGTGGGAGAAATAAACCACCACCCGCCTTCACTGACTTTTTTTTTTATTGCAGAAGGGAAGCTGGGGCCCCCACAATCACTGCTTCATCGTAACAAGAATGACTGGGAGATGAGTGTGTGTGTGTGTGTGTGTGTGTTCAGAGGTATGCTCAGGAAAAACACTGCAAAGAGGGGAAATAATACCACTGCTTAAAGAGACAAAAAGAAGGGTGACTCTTGGGAGAGGTGTTTACCTGAAAGCCCCACAGGGGCCGAGTGTGTCGTTCCCCCAATATCACTGGATGAAGGTCCAGAGTCTGGAGAATCTACGGGAAGAAAGAGACTTTGATTTAGCACCGAGAGTGAAAAAGAGAGAGAGAGAAGGAGCAAAGCAGCAGCTGTGAGGCCGTCAATCACTCCGGTGAAATCAATGCCTAATGAAGACGCTGACCATGAAGCTCACACTCTCACACACAGACACACACTCACAGAGAAAGAGATAAAAGGAGGGAGGGAGAGAGAGACAGCAGACTACCGGCAGAGTTTCTTCGACCCCTGATAATCCCCCATAATCCACTGCTTCAGGAGGATCGTTAGCCCTGCATCACTGCATGATCAGGAGAGAGCTGTGCTAATGACTTTGATGAAGAGTGTGGCTTGGGGACTGATCACTGATCATGTACTAGAAAAGTGCATTATCAATTCTCAGTTGTTTAATATGAATATTTAAACCATTTGGTCCAAAGTAAATCAAGTTTTTTTCCCTTGCATTCTGTTAGAAAGTAAACCTACACAGACAGAGTTTCACACCAAGTTCTTGTTTCTTAATGTGCTCAAAATATCATTGCCAGCACTGTGCAACATGAAGGAACGCTTGTACAAACACTAGGTCTAAACTAATCTTTAACAATAAATGAAATGTTGCGTAACATGTATTTATATTTTTATATATTTTCGGTCCTTTAACAACTCAAAATCATTGTTTTTCTTTTCTATCCATAAAAACATCACAACTTAAATACAACTTTCTACTAAGCTACAGGGTCTGATCTTGATTCAGTTTGAAGAGCCTGGTTGGAGTCACTCACTCTCTTTGCATATGAATACCGAACTCCCACTAAGACGTGTATGGTCGACTAGTTTCAGCATGAAACCTGAAAGGAGCTTTAACAAAATTGCAGTATGTGTGTGTGTGTGTGTGTGTGTGTGGTGAACGGCAGCACAGTATTAGCAGAAGGCGGTGAGCTCTGCCTCAGAGCTGCTGCTGCTGCTGGAAGCTAGGAATTCACTAATGATACATTCCTTTCTCTGTGCGTCAATGCCGTCCGAGACATGCCATCCGTCGCAGCGTAGCGCGTGGTGCTGGTCACCTGCGATTGCGAACGGTGATGGAGTGTGACTCTGAAGTGCAGTTTTTCTGATTGTTGACGTTGAGAGGGAGTTCAAGTTGAAGACACTGAAGTCAATAATCGGCTAAAATAGTAATAGTGCTCAAAGGTAAAACGATGGTGATAACTCGGTGAGAATAATGCACATATGGTAAGTGGAGGGTCTGTTGAATACTGCCACTCTGTTTGACAGATAGCCTCATTGGCCTCCTGTTTGCCCAAGCAGACCTGCAGTACCTATGAAGTATTTTAAAAAGCAGCATCCAAAGAGCTTTTACTGTGAGCCCCCCCGCCCCCTCCACCCCCCTACCCCGGTCTGGACACTGCTGTGGCTGCAGTAACGAGATGCATGGGCACCACCGCGCTTTCATTGGCTGCCAGCAGCTTTGCCCTGGTCTCCCGGGCAACAGTTCACAGCTGACCACAGAGCTGAGGGGGGCACCAGAGAGAAAGAGCTAAACAGTGTGTGATTTATATTCCCCTGAGCTGAAACAAGGTAGCGTTTTTACGTCTGGGTTACTTTCATATTGACCGCTGCTGCTGCCGCTGCTGCTGCTGCTGAGGCAGACAGACACCCTGACACATATACCCCCACTTCCTGCGTGCTAGAATCATAAAACCATCATCATAAAATACACGGCTCTTCCGCTTCATGCAGATGTTAACATTTAATTGCATTCTGAAAGTTGACTGTTGAGAATTTCGGAGTGTCACAGTGATTTAACGCAGCCGTACACGGAGCAAATGTAAAGAATCGTATAAAAATGGTAAAAGCCTGCAGGAATAGGAAGGAGATAATGACTGACAGTTCGCAGAGGCACTGGGGAGAAAACCCGTCTTTCTGCATTACGGGCTCATCTGTCCCCGTGTGTGTGTATGTGTGCGCGTGTGTGTGTGTGTCAGCTTGCACCATTGTCCTACTATTACATGTTGTCTTTCACTCTGCTTGGCCAATACAGACAGGCAGACAGAGTCTCCTTTGATTAACCACAACTGCAGCTGCACTGACTAAATGCAAAGCAAACCTGGAAATGTCTTGACAGGTGAGCTCAGGACTTTTTTAAAGCACCATTTCCACCTTAATTTATGATCGAAAATGATGAAATAATTTTTTTTTTTCCAAGAAGGAAACAAAACTCTACTTGGAAAAGTACCTGCCATCTAGTGGTGCTGTTGCTCTTTTGCTCTGTTGTAGATGAAAACACTGAAATCACACGCAGTCCTTTTTTCCAGTTCAGAATTGAGAAATTTGGTGGCAACATGAATTACATAAACATTTCCTTTGTCTGCGGCCACTGTGTATCTCCTGTTTTACTCATCGTTTCCTTGCATTTTAATTTTCTAGCAATCTGAGCTGTTATTGTTCACATCGGAGGACAGTGTTGTTGGAAAAAAAAAAGTATTTCTATTTGATTTGTAAGGTTGGGAAAGTCCTCTTCGAGCAAGGGAATATCTCTCAAGCTGGCTAAATATGAGAGAGAGGGAGAGAGAGGGGGAGAGAGAGAGGGAGAGAGAGAGTGTGGGTAGGGAAGCTTTGAAGAGCCACAGCTGCAGCTGCAATGACTTCCTATTGTTTCCACTCACTGAAAGCCACTTTCTCCTGCCTCTTGCTAACTGGACGGGCGGCGCACTGGTCATTGTTTAGCCCTACAATTTCCCTGCATGGTCAGCCAGTCTGACAGGATTAAATGAGTCACTAAGAAAATTGTGACTTCAAAAGGATTTTGATCTTCTTGCTGCACGGTTTCAGAATGATATAATTACATCTACCTTCTTCACTCCGATGATTACGTTAACGGATGCCACTTTCCAGTTCCAGAATGTGATGACATTTACAGGCGATGCCTTAGACTTTTTATCATAAACGTGCAGAGCCACACACAGCCTATGGTGAGGGTCTAAAAAAACTCCAGAAGTTCTCCACTGATTTCAGAAGTAAGTGATTTGAATATAGCGTAAGTCTATGTAAAATTAGACCACTACCATGAATGTTCCTGAGAAATGTTCCTTCAAGGGAAGATGAATGATAAAGTTGTCATGGATGTTTACATTCAGAGACAAAAAGAGAAAAAAAAGTATGAATGCTATGGGACAAAGCATAAACATGAGTGGACAACATTTTGGATCGACAGCTGGATAATCTAATATGAGCCAGGATATACACGGAGTTTAACGACATCACAATGTTAGTGGGCATTCATCAAACAAGTCATTTTGCTAATGCTTATAATCTGAAGATTTCAAATGGTTCATTCTGGTTGCAGTGAGACAATGTGGTCAGCAGGACGATTCTCAGCTGACGTTAAAAACTGCCGGAGAACTAGTGACATATTAAATACAAATTAAGTGATCAAGTAAAGCAGAGCATCTCTGGTGTTTTTCTTCCACGGTTGCCTGCAGCAGGCGTAGATGTACGTTTATCAAATATTCTATAGTACATGTTAAAAACATTCGGAAATGGAAATGCTAACTTCCTTCCTGAAACAAACACATCCCAGCAAAAACACTAGAGTGGGACGGACACACACACACACACACACATACCATTCAGCTTAATAATTTGATTAATCTAGTTGATAAAGGGCCGACTGGCTCCAGTGACTCTACTGTCTGCTTGTTCCTCCCTCTCTTTCTCTCTCTCTCTGATTCACAAAAGATAAATGGTCCCACAAACAGACACCCACACAAATCGTCCTCAAGACAGACAGGCCAACACACACACACACACACACAGTCCCACACACAGAATATTCCCCATGTTAAAGTCCCAGTCAGTTAATAGCTGGTATCCCGACTTTGTGCGGCTCGGTCCTGGCTGACAGCCATGGTAGAACTGCCCAACCTGCCAGCCAGGCGTGCCACTCCGATATCATAAATCACAACATAACATGGAACCATTTCCTACAAGATATCATAAATCACAACATAACATGGAGCCATTTCCTACAAACACACACATACACACACCCACACATACACAAGACCCACACATGTGCAATGCAGGGACAGTTGGCAAGAAATGCAACATGTTATGTCAGAGAATTCAACACGAAACAAAAACTCACCTGGTGGTTTAAGATAGTCCATGGGATAGCGAGAATATGGAGGAGGAGGAGACTCTGCATGAGAGAAGAAAAAAATAAGACGCATGAGGAGGGTGAAAAAAAAAGAAGAAGAATGAGAGAGAGATCTTAAGTTTATGATAAGAATTGTTTCATTCTACAGGGAAAAGGGCTTCGTGTCTGTTAGCTCAGCCAGCAGGGGAAAGCAGAGAGGCTGGCCGAGCGGCTATTGCCTTTCATTGGCAGGCAGATAAACAGGGGGCCGCCTGGCGCCAGCAGGGCCACTATCAGCGTCTAGGACAAACTGAGATACGGGCCTCTTTTGGCCCGGGACGCCAAGTAAGCACACACACACACTCATACACACACTCATACACACACTCATACACACACTCATACACATACATACAGAGGCCCTGGAAACTTCATCGTGGAAAGACTGTAAAGCCCCGGCTGAGTAGCTGTGCACTTTGGAAATGCCAATTGTGAAACTCTGAAATGCCACACAGGCTGTTTGTTTGTTTGTTTGTTTGTAAAAATATGAGCTCGGATTATGTTAGAAATATCCTGGTTTAACTTTAAGAAATAGCCCATAAGAGAGCCTGTTAACGGCACAAAATATTTTCATATGATTAAGAAAACATGTTATTACACTTCCGTGACAAACTAGTAAACGTGGTTTTATTGCCATATGAACACCTATTGGGCTGTAGGCTGAAAGACTGCTTGTGTTTTGATCTCTATTGGTAGTTTAAGGGTGTTTTGGTGTGGAACCCCCCAGCCCACCCCTCACTCTCTATGTGTGGCCCTGTCTGGTGGCGGGTGACCTGCCCCGGGTGTACACCATATTGCCCAGTGACTGCTGGGATTGGTTCTATACTCCAAATAAATACCACAATATTGCTGAAATGACAAGTGGACCACTTTCCACATCAGTGTAAGTTTGACCTTTTGGAAACTCAACACAACTGTGCCAAGAAAGGTGATGCCATTTGAATTAGGCTAATTAGTCTTTTAGAGGCAGGCAATTCTTTTTGACAGTAATATCACAGTGTCTGGATGTGGACTTAGTTCTAAATCCTCTAAGAGAACGGACGAGACATGGTTATGATGATGAAGTTCAAATGAGAAAAAAAAAAATAGTAATAATTCCAGCTCACCGAGTTCACAAAGTCTGCTCATGTGGTGCGGGTTGCAGCAAACGAGCTCTGGGTTGATTTTCCCGTAGGATTCACAGCAAGACAGCCTCTTCAGCTCCGAGGAATGCCTGAGGTCCGGCCACCTGAACACTTTGTAGAGCAGCATGGGGAGAGAGTAAGACTGTTGACCCACTTTGGCGTCCACTTTGCTGGGCAGGAGCAAGCAGGGGCTCCGGGCTCCCCCCTTGGACTCCACCGCCTGCAAAAGCACCTCTAATTGTTTTTCTTTGATCTTTTTGAGTATGGAGTGGGTCAACGCCTTCAATTCAGCCTCCGACCCGGCGTTGGGTTTGGCCACCTTTGCCGTTTTGCCCATGCAGCAGCCCCCGGAGCCATGCGTCCCTCTGTCCGTTTCTCCGTCGCCCTCCACGGGCGCACGGCTCCTCCAGAGTCGCCGGATGAGCCCCGATCGTTTGGTCCTAAACATGCGGGACGAAAAGAGGTTTCCCCGGCTAAAAAACGAGCATGATGTCCGCAAATCATGAAGATTCCGGGATCCGAGTCCAGGCGGTGACAAGCAGCCTGAGAAAATACGGTGGAAAAACTGGGAGCCGGATAAGCAGAGGAAATCTGTAGCATACGCCAGTCTCTCTGTCGCCTTCTCCCACAGCCTAGATATCAGCGAGAAAAAAACCCCGGAGGTTCACGGGACAGTCAGCTCCTCCTCTGGGGGGTAAACGACCATCAGCCCGTGGCGTTTTCAACCAGTGGATCTCGCAGCCTGCTGGAAATTCAGAGGCACAAACACAGACGCATGTTGCCTTCGATACGTTGCCAATCACTTGGTGATGTTGCAGCCTGTGCGGCTCTGTCGTCTGACCCCTTAAAAAGCCCAAGCAACTGCGTCGATTTTCAACCAAAGCTACAAAAACACATCTGACTGTTTCGTGTGGCTCAGTCGAGCTGGAAGTGAGACTAAACCCGAGGCCTTATTACCGTCTATCACGGTTATCCCATGAAAACCCCGTCTGGCCGCCGTCGTGTCTTCAAAAATATTAAATCCACACAAAAAAATAAAAATAAATCCTGGACCGACTGCAAGGAGTAGCTGTCTTTCTGTCTTTCTCGTTCTTTCTTTCCTTCTGTTTATCCGTTATAGTTTCAATATGCAGCTCTGGTCTGCAGGAGATGTGGTCGGTTTGCTGGCAGAGAAAGAGTCTCGTCCACAGAGCTGAGGCTCAAATCCAGGACTGAAGCTCGAACCGTGTAGTCGAGACGCGTTTGAGGATCTGGAGAAAGAGAGGGAGAGGGAGTGAGAGAGACAGAGGGGGGAGGGAGAGAAAGACTGTGAGAGAGAGAGAGAGAGAGAGAGAGAGAGAGCGAGAGAGAGAGAGAGACCCTTCTTCCACGCACGCAGCCCTGTCGCTTATTTTGCTCCGAATTCCTTATAAACAGCGAAACGACTGCTAATCTACAACGGTAATCTCACGCCGAGTTTCCGCAGTGTAGACGTTGGAGAGCGGCGAGGCCACAGAGTGGTGTGGAGCCGCGCTGGGAGGCTGTGAATGAGGCGGATGGTTTGGGTGCCCTTGCTCCGTCTCCAGTCTCCAGTGCGCATTGACGCGCCCGGTCACGTGTGTGTCTAGACACCCTGTCGCTTAAAAGAAATGTGATTGTGTTGCTGCGCAAACAACAGATCAAGTAGAGTCCCGCAGCGCGCACACGCTGGTGTGTACACACGCACGATCACGCGCACAGACACGGAGGAGGAAGTGAAGAATTAGGATCATTTGAAAAAGAAAAACTCATAAATGAAGTCTGTGAGTTGACACACGTTGTCTCTAAAACTGCAGCACGAACTACGAAAAGTTTTCATTTTACGTCGTTTTGTTAAAAACCACAAAATAAATTAAATTAGAAACGGCTGTTTTAGTTTCACCATTTCTGATAATTCTACCAAATAATTTAGTTATAAATGGCAAAAGTAGGTCAAAGTAGAATGAGAATTAGACATTTTTAGACCGAATTCATTTAGTTAATACGATTAAAGTGACCAGATAGAAGTAAAAAAAAAAGTTAAATTATAGCAGTCATAGTTTAAAGTAAGGCTACAATTACCCCCTAGCGTATGACTTAAAATGTAGTACTAATATGATTAAAGTCGCCAGAGCGAAGTAAAATAAGTTTTTATAAAGTTATCGTCATAGTTAAAAGTAAGGCTTTAATTAGTGCAAGCAAAAGGTGAGTACATGTTGTTTGAAATTAAAATTAAAAAAAGTATTATTTAGGTAGCCCAGACATGCTAATTGTTAGCCACAATAAACTCGAGTTTTCTAGAAATTATAGCTACTTTCGCTTGGAAATAATCAAATAAAAAAACGACGAAAATAATAAAATTTTGCCCAGTATATGTTCCCAAACTTTGTATTAGGTGTATTTTACCCTCTAACCGGTATTTGGTCTTAACTTGATCCTAACAGTCTTCTAATCCAGGACATCCTTTCACACTAAATTCTTCTAACTGACGAATCTATGATTTGTTATGTTAATCACTCTTGATATCTGTTTAACTCTCGGTGGGCTTTTTACCCTGAATTTGATCTCTCAGGCGTCACTGTACGCTGTTTGAGCTGCTTTAATAAATACGTATTAAAGTTTTTACTCTTCCAACGTTAGAGTTATTTTGTACCTATATGTTGCCAAAGTTGTTCTCCTAAAAGGACAAAGCCAATATGAAGAAATCATGCCTGTAAGACAAAATACGGAGAACATAACAACGGCAGGGTAACCGACATGTCCTAAACCAGATTAAAACGTTGCTACTGCCGCCCTCTGGACGGTTGTAGATCTGGGGTTTATGCTCTTTCTCCCTCTGTCTCTCTCTCTCTCTCTGTCCTCCCCCACCTTCCAGTCAATGTCTCGTCGTTCGTTCTCGTTTTAAACAAAGCAAGAAGTAAGGCACAGTCACAACGGTTTGATAAACAATAACCTCAAGTGGCTAAGCTAAACAGATTATAAATAGCTTCAGTTGAAAATTTCATATACTATATATATATATATATATATGTGTGT